TGGTGAAACGTGGGACGCGGAATCGAGGCTAGGAATACACGAGGCGGCACGTAAATAAACGGCTTTGTGGCGGGTTCGATGCAACAAAGTTCCCGCCACGCGTAGGCAGTGCCAGCGAGCGCACTGTCCTCGCGTCCTATTAGGGGTTGAAATCACGGATGAACGCGGCTCGTCTGAAATTTCGCAACCCGCCGTCGTTTGAATTCGCCCGCGAATGAAAAAAGAGTCGAGGTCGAGTCCGCGGGGTTCAGTCTCGGGGTATATTCGACGGAAGGAAGTTAATTAAACGGATTCCTCGCTTTATGAGGTTTACTTTCTTACCGGAGTCGGAGTTCGTGGAGAGATTGAATTTTCCTTCATCGCGTCGAAAGATTTCCGGATCACGTGGCGCAATGCGCGTTCCCAAGCGGCGCGGTTCGCGTCACGCGATATCTCCTCTAGTTACGCGACTTGCTCAATTACCGAGAAATTGTGCGTGCAAAATTGCAAAACGAGAGATTCCCCGTTGTGTATACAATTTCAAACCTCTCCCGTTATCTCTTGCGTATACGCGCATTCGAGAATCTCGAGCGACCAAGTATACGTAATTGAGAAAGTTCTGGTCGAGAGCGTCTGCATAGATAATATTGCGTACACGCAAGGGCATACGCTGCGATAAGTGTCCCGGTAGCTGGAATATTAAAAATTCACGAAGGCAGTCGGTCGAAAAGACCATTCCCAATCGGAGGTTTGATTTCCGGACGGGTTCGCGCGGCCGATTTCGTTTTTCGCGATGCGACGCATCGACAAACGCTTTGCGAGAGTGGCAGACTGCCGGTGCCGCGAGGGGGAAATTTATTCGGGGCCGACACACACGTATATACAGATATAGGCGAACGGTCGAACGAAACAGTTTCGTTTTAAACGTTTTTTTTTCCTCTCTCTCTTTTTTGTTCGTACAGGCCGAACAATAACTAGAAGCTCTGCCGGCGAGGCAGGAAGAACAATGATTCCCATTACAGGTTTCAGTTTTATTTAAAAGCCGGCCCCGGCATTGTTTTTACCGCGGACAAGCGGTGGACCGCGAACATGTATTCGCCGCCGTTCTCCGGGCCTCGTCACTTTTGTACTCGACTTGAAGGATTTAAATACTCCTTACCACCGAGCATTGTTCGAAACGATGAAAAGCTTCCTCTTCCGAGTTATCGGGAAAATATGCCCGGATTCAGACTGAGACGAGATGTGCACGCCGCTGTTACACGTAGAAAGCCTTTCTCCTTACCGAGTACACTTAAGAGACACCAGTTCGACTTTCCCTAGTTCTTTGCCGCGCTGAAAGACCCGGCGACGTACGTCCGTGGCTTTGCGAATTCTATTTAAAGAACGGAGATACTGAAAATCGATCGAGCCTGTTATTTGATCGCTAATTCGATCTCCGTGCAGCGAGATCTGAACCGTTCGTCGACGAGATAAAGCGGCAGCAGTTACGATAACGATACGGTTCTGTAATATTTTTGTCGCCCTTATCGCGAGTACACGCTCGGGTAATTTCACCGTGTCACGTTAATAATAAAGCGAATCAAAGCGAAACTGCTACTTTTCATTTCCCGTTTGGAACCGTGGAGTCGGGGAGCGAGGTCGGAACCTCGCGGCATCTTAATTCTCATCAGAAATAATGGTTCCCTATTTATTTTTGCCGCGGCGTCGCCGACAATGAAGCGGGACACGAAGAAAGGATGGTTCGCCGTTCGAAACGGCCTCCACTCGCTCACCTTTGGGAAATCTTTTCCTGCGAACATTTGCGCCGACACGGTTTCATTGTAAAAAAAAAAAAAACCGTGTCGCTTTGTTCGTTCGCTCGAGTCTTCGAAAAAAATTTACATCCTCTTAATTAGTTTCTCTCGTTTCGTTCTGCTTCGAGCATCCTTCTGTTCGCGTCTCAAAAGAGTCGTCCGGTAAAAGAGAGCAGTCGCGCGAAAGGGAAACAGGGATAACCAGGAAGTGCCAGGTCATTGTTTGCCGAGTAAACAATGTTAATTTTGCCGTCAGTTCGACGAGAACTGCGCGGCGCGACGGACTGGTACAAACGAAGTGAATGATCAGAAATGGACGAGGACCATTGTGGAGCAAACAAGCTCTCTAAGCAGATTCCACGAGTAGAGGGTAAATTGGGTGCGCGAACTCGATAATTCAGCGACACGCTCGATTCTCTCATTTGTTTTCTCTTTTTTCGTCTCAACGTGGCCGCCCCCTCTCTTCCTCTCTTATCTAGAAATCAAGTTTGACGAGATCAAATAAATCGACAGAGTCGATCAATATTAATGCTTGACTCTGAAGGTTCCGAAGACAATCAAACCATCTATGTTCCATTGTTTAACGTAAACATTTATCAGGGTATTTTTATTTGTCAACGTTTGATCGACGTGTTTGTTACTGAACAATTATCAATGAGAAGAATGTTGCAACATTAAGGATGTATTGGAAATCCCCTTGGAAAAATCTCGGAAAAATAGAAAAAAAATTTTTTCTCACAATATCGAAAATTTTCAATTAAAAATAGTGTACTTCTCTTCTAATTTCGATATTTAATGAGTTACA